CCAGTGTCTAATTCTGAAGGCTTTGGCCACATGGTGGTTAAAGCACCCAAACAGTTGTTTGAATTTACCAACTACTCTGGGGGAGAAAGATGTGGTAGTTTGCTTCTGTAAAGATTATTGTCTGGGGCATCAGAGGATACATAACAAGCAACAAACAAACAAACAAAAACAAAAACATGGTGTTGAGAACGAGGGGGGTGGAGCAGAGACCTAACGCCCATCTGTAGACAGTGGAACATCCCCCCACAGAGTCAACCAGGGTGCAGTAGAGCACGATGGATCACACAATATTCCTCTGGTTCCTTGAGGCTTCCTCACCCCCAACTGTCATGACCCTTGTGTTCCTTCTCACCCTGGGCTAGACCAGAGCAGGGATAGATAAGATCTTGATAAAGCTCACGACACAGGGAATCCAGGGACAGGAATGGTGAACAGCGATACCAAAAGGGTAGGAGGAGGTGGTGAGAGGAGGGGAAGAGGGCACCCCGCGCAGTGCTTGTCGCTTAACCAATACTCACTTCCAGGGGAAAGACCAACAGAAACCATGGGGGAAGGGAGACAGCGGTCGGTGTGAGAGATGAAAATAATAATAATTTGTAATCTATCAAGAGGCCACAGGGGTGGGAGGGGGAAAAACCAGGAGCTGATACCAAGGGCAAATAGAAAGCAAATGTCTAGAAAAGAACGATGGCAACATTTGTATAAATATGCCAGATACGATTGATGTATGAATTGTAATAAGACTTGTAAGAGCCCTCAATAAAGTGATCTTTTAATAAAAAAATAACTAAATAAAATGAAATGAAAATAGTGAGTCACTGAAAAAAAAAAAAAAAGTCTACTGCCTTGGAAACCCTATGGAGAAGTTCTACTCCATCCACGGAATCCACGGAATCACTGTGTTGGAATCAACTTCACAGCAATGGGCGTGGTTCGGGTTTTCATCTAATTCTCTGAAGACATTTAAAAGGGATTAGTAAACTAATCAGAGAAGCTAATTTGAAGGAAGGTGTTAATCACCTGGGACAGTGCAATTTGTTAGTCTTGCTCTTACAGTGATTTTAACTATCTCTTTTTTCTTCTTTCTCCCCCTCTTCTCTGCCTCCCCCCTGCTTTCTCCACCTTGCCATAGCCTTCAAAGTCCACTTCTTTGGGAATTAGACTATATTGTGATTGGTTTTTTCCTTAGCATCTTTTGCCTTGGCCACCTGAAACTGCACAGGTATAATTGGGGTTGTTTCTATTGGATTATCCTTAAAAGGTAGAATGTCAACTAAAATATCATATTTCGTAGTGATTTGAAATCAGTATTGATATCAGTGGTTCAGTTCCTTAATATGTGCACCTGTTACTGCTGGAAGATTATATCACCTCTGACTTTCTCTAAAATACCAACATTATCCAACAGAAGCTTCTTTATTTACTATTTTCTTTATTCATCTGCATATCTTTGATTTATACAACACCTTCCTTAATTTTTAGAAAAGAAGGTACCCGTCTGGTAGCTTCGTCCAGCATCATCGTCTCTCCAGCCTCCTGGGATGGTGTCTTTCTAGTTACTCTTACCCAGCTGAATGGGCCCTGTCCTTTTCACTGTCAGATTTGCGAAGATCTAGCTGACTTGCAAAGAAAGCTAATATTGGATTTTAATTTCCCACCTGCCTTTAATTATCTCTATCTTTTGTGGTAATTTATCTTCTTAACTGAAGGATCCTCATCCACTTTCCCTAACTCCTCACCATAGTTGCTCTTGGTGGGCTTTCGTTGGCATTTTCTTGATATGCGCCTCCTCTCAAAGGGATCATTAATGCGGTGGTTCTAGTCCAGTAGCTTCAGACCAGAGTTATGCATTGTTTCATATACCTAGCATATGTAGTTTGATGTCATTTATTATTCTTTTATTTCTCTTTTTACTTTATTCCCCATGTATCCTATTTACAAGAATTTTCTAAACTTAAAAAAAATATTTTCATTTTCTACTCTGTCCTCAGATAACTAACTCATTTACGTAAATTATTCACATAACGTGCATAAGAATAATATTTTATGTAAGAAACAGAATAACTTATTGGGATTTTTTTTCCAAAAGGAAAATAGGGATGGAATAAAAGAATAAGGCATGATTATTGCCTTTGATTCCTTGAAAGATTGCCTTAAAATAGGAAAATACTTAATATGACTAAAAGAGCAGAATTAGCACTGGTGGGTAGAAATCATAGGGAATACAATTTATCTCACCATTAAGGAAATTGCAATGCAGATCCATGTAAAATGTAATGAGCTCTATTCTGAGCGAGAGAGTTCCCCCTTTGCTGAGAACTTAAGTATAGTCTGGAAAGTCCATTGAAAGGAAAATTATACATTGGGCTAAACTTTACGAGTTGGTATACGAGATGATATTCAAGGCTGAATTTAACCTTCACAATCTTATTGTCTAAGACTTAACTCCACATCTCCAGTTCCCGCCTCTCATTTGTCCTCTAACTATGCTGTGAATGTCGACTTGTAAATCCTACTATCATTTCAAGTTGTTTTTACTACGAATACAAAATGAAACTGTTTTCTTCAGATAACTAAACTATCTTCTTACTAACTTGGTTACTTCTTCCAATGATATCTTCATATTCTTGGACATCTAGACTTAACTTGAATTATGTTCTTGTCTAACCAATATATTGGTTTATCTTTGTCATTATAATCTACCACTTTAATGTGCACAATAGTACCTCTTTGTTGATCTTTTCCAGAACACACTCTCAGCCTTTTCTTTTTTGTTTGTTTGTTTGGAAAATGTCACGATTCACTTCTTGAGTGTATTCCTATCAAATGCTTGTCTAATCTTCTATGGCACTCTGGTGGCATAGGCACTTACTAGTTGGGCTGCAAACTGCCAGGTCAGCTGTTCAAAACCACCACTCCCTCCTGGGGGAAAGGTGAAGCTTTCTGCTCACTTGCAGGTTTACAGCCCAGAAACCCACAGGAGCCGTTCTAGGCCGGCCTGTTGGGTCATTATGAGTGAGAATCAACTTGAGGACAGTGAATTTGGTATTTGGATTTGATATCTTCTCTAGTTCTCTGACTATATACATTTCTATATTTGTTATTTCTTCTACTTGGAAAGTCTATGCAACTCCTGAGGAAAAATGGGAGTCAAGCCTTCTAAATGAAACACGGATCTGATTGTACAGATTTCTATACTCGTGTAGTGTCCTACTTACAACAGTGAAAATTAGAAGATCGCACTCATTTCTCTTCTTTAGTACACTCGTTTGGGTTTCAAAGAAAAAAATTATTTTTCTAACAGCTACATTTTAGAATGATTGAAAATACACTTTAGAAACTTTGTTCATCTGTAGTTTGCTTTTTCATTTCTTCCTTTGTACTCAGTGTTACCATATGAATGTTGGAAGCAGTTTTTAGTCCGTGTCATTCAGTATTTTGTGATTTGTCCATTCCTGTATGGTCTATTGGATCATACTCTTTGTCCCGCTAATTTATTGAATACCAAATGAGAGGATGTACTGTTTTGAATGTTGTTTACAGTGTTTAAAGCCCCTTGCCAGCCACTCTAAGCCAAATTGAAGCTTAATGCACATGATTGTAATTTACTTTTATCTTTTGAATAAAATGAATTGTATTGAAGTAAAGCAATTGTAATTTGCTTTGTATTCGCTACTAATTTCTTTCAAGGTTTTAGATCCTCCAACACTATTTCTAATAATAGTAGAATTATTTCAGCCTATCCTACTTTTAGGGGTGTTAAAACTAGTGATTTAGTATTGCTAATATAAATATTAATTCATTTTCCTTGCATAGTTCAAAATATCATTATGTAAAGAAGACTTCATTATCAGAGAAAAAGGAATGGCACTAAATTAACTGAATAACTTTTCTGATTATCATCTCACTAACAAATGATACCCACTGGCTTGATTGCATGCTATCAAGTATATGTAAAATCAAAGGACATTTCTTCTCTTGATTTGTTGTGAAATTAATTTTAATCTTCTCAATTTTAAACTAACTCTTGGTAATCAAATAGATGCCATTTACATGTAGACTTGAATGAATTAAAAGCCTAAAATCTTTCGTTTTATTAAAACTTATTTTCTGATCATTTTGAGATTCTATGTGCTGTACTTAATCTTCTTTCTCCTGATTCTACAGAGAAATGACGAAGAAGCAGTTGTGGATCGTGGTGGAACTCGTTCCATTCTTAAAACACACTTTGAGAAGGAGGATTTAGAAGGTAAAACATTCTCCTTCTTGGAATTAGCTCTTGCATTTGTTTTTTCCTGAATTATTTCAAAGAACTATGGAGCTTGTCTTGTTGAGGATTCCAAGTGTTGGAATCAAAGTCATGGAGAGTAGCAAAGAGGGAAATATCGTAGTTTTGGTCAACTTGGAATTCCAATAGGCAGACCTGCAAATAAATAGAAATATTTATCTATTCAACGGGCACTATTCTGTGAATTAGTATTTTAATAACTCTTACTTTAAGAAATTCAATCAACTGAGAAATGAAAGTAAACCATTGAAGACTGTTAGGGTAATCTAGAGAAATAAAACCAGAATGCTAATAATTATATATATATATATATGTTTATACAGATAGATGTATAACATAAGAAATAAAGTTAATTAAATTATAAAGCAGTACAAATGGCTCAGTGCAACTCATGCCTGTGAGACAGTTGTGAGAAACTGGCAGTCCTTCAAGTCTTGAGGGATACTGGGTATCCTCTGTAGAGCAACTCAGGCTATCTGGGAACAGGCAGCAAACAGCAAGGCAGGTCACCAACAGTCAGCCAGATGACAGGGTCTGACAGTCCCCAGCTCAAGAGATGTAAATTCCAGTGGTGTGGCAAAGCAGGTCTTGAAGGTACCTCAAATTACGACACAGTCCATGGGTTAGGTGTCCCACAGGTAGTGTAGCTTGCAAATGGAGTCAAAGAAGAAGCAAGGCAGCCGCACACTGTCCAATGATCAAAGAGCAAGAGACAAGAGAGGCAAGGCTCGCTGAGCCATTTATCTCTCTACCCTTCAATTAACCCCACATGTGATTATTGGCCAGGTTGGCACAATAAACTAACTACCTCAAAGACAAATAAGCATATCAACTGTAAAGAGAGACTTGCGTATATGATGTTTACAGGAAAGGCATTATCTGGCCTTGTCTAATTATAAGAGTAACATATCCCCAGAATACCAAACCAACAAAAAGCAAATTTCACTGCCATCTAGTCAATTCTAACTCCAATGCTCCTATAGGACAAAGTCGATCTGCCATCTGTGGGTTTTGGAGGCTATAAATATTTATGTGAGCAGAAAGTTTCATCTTTTTCCTTTGGAGGGCCTTGAACTGCTGACCTTGCAATTAGTAACCCAACTCATAACCTCCTACAACCACCTGAATAATTGGTCTTCTAATCTTTTCTAGAAGGACCCCTGGTAGTACAATTGTTAAAATACTTTATAGAATAACCATATACAGATAATTAGAAGTTGATATAATATTTGTCACTTAAAAGAAATTATTATACTAAAATATTTAATGCATGAAATTTTACTCTGTGTGTGTGTGTATACACATACATACACACACACACACACACACACACACATATTAAACACCCTCTCCCCCTAAAGAGGGGAAGCCAAACAAAATAGGCTTGGTTTGGGTTAGGTAATAGAGGTGGTATAGTAGCAAAACCAAATGTGTTGTCAGTTGCTTGATTCTGGCTTTGGTACAGGGTAGCACTGAATTCCAGAAGGTTTTCTTTGTAGAAATCTTTACAGAAGCAGACCCCTAAGTCTTACTTTTGAGGCTCTGCTAGGTAGGTTCAAACCATCGACCTTTACCCGGGAGCTGAATGCAAGTCCATTCCTACTCAGAATGACCCCATAAGGCAGAGTGCAAGTGCTCCCTGGGGTTTCAGACGCTGCCAGCATAGAAGTAGGAAGCTTCATCTTTCTCTCACAGAATGACTGCTGGGTTTGAATACTGACCGTGTGGTTAGCAGCTGATGCTTAACCTTCTACACCATTAAAAAAAAATTCTGATTAGTAGCTATCCAATCTTTGCTCTGTTTGCAGATACCTACAGTTCATACTTTAATTCCCAAAGCTAATACTTTTGGATGTCATTAGTGATTGATATCAACATTAAATGTCAATGGTAACATTGCAATTTAGAATTTTGCAGGAAATAGAAACAAATAACCAAAAACGAATTCCCCAGATCTTATTTATGATTACTCCATAAATATGTGTTCTGTTCCTAACCCATAGTAGGGAGAGAGATGGGGCTTTCTACTCAGAAACATGCAGAGGCACTTCTCCGCTGTCCTGGAGGGTCGCTATGAGCTTACTGGCAGCAAGTTGTTTTGTAACCCATCGTAAATAGATCATCATTCTAGCATCTCAGGATGTTCTGGAAGATTCCGTTGTGGAGCACACAAAGAGCAGATAGCTTTGTGTGCCTGTTGCAGAATCATTGACCTGTCTTAGAAAACAATATAGGCATTCTCTGATGAGTGTCACGCCTCAGAGATAATCAACTGACAGCATAATATAGAGTGAAGAAATGGAAGAAGACCAGCTGGGAAACTAGTATCACTGAGGGGAAGGGCAGTGGTTGCTTCTTCTTTTATGTCATTGAAGGAAGAGACCTAAACTCTACCTGGGAAGGCCATCTTATTTCATAATCTAAATAAAATAGGTCTATAAATACATATTTTAAATAACAAAGAAAGTGGAATGGCTTTTGTAAGCAAGCACACGTTTTGCAAATGTTTTCAATTAAGGTTTTAAATCTGAAATTTATTTCTCAGAATTAATGTGTGTATTCTTAGCTAATGGAATTACTAGTATAATTTATCCTGTGGAGTACAGCTTGTAGAAATGCCAGGTGGTTAAAATTGCCTGTAAGTATCAGTGGGAGATATATAAATGGGGAATGATAGCCTTCCCAATAACAACTGCCTGGTGCTGTATATTAATTCATTAACCTACTGTGGTGAAGTGAAATGACTTGGTCTATATCCTCGTAGCTTCCATCAAATGATTTGGTGGGGCCATGTAAGTAAATTGTGTAAAATACTAATAGAGGAGACTTGTCAGTGTTGTCATTACACTTAGTCTGTAAGTGAGCCATCTCAGAGAGCTGAAAGAGAGAATCCTGTGACCAGAAAGAAACAGCATTGAAGCATTGGTGAGCTCCTCATCTGCAGTGAGGAAGGCAGCAGAAGCAGACGAGGTCACAGCATGGCAACACCAAGATTATGAGGCACAGTGTGTTAGATCAGGTTGACTAGAAACAAATCCAGAGACACTGGTATATTCATAGGAAAGAGCTTTATATGGAAGAGCAATTGTATATCAAGAAAATATCTTAGCCCAGCCCGATCAAGTCCATAATCTGATATTCACTCATATTACCGATACTAGACCATAAAACCCTCCTCAGGCTTATACAGCCACTCACAATGATCCAAATGCAGGAAGATCACAGGCTGGTGGGTGAAAAGTCTTGTGGATCACCAGGCTGTGACCTGATTGACAGGCTAGACTCCACCCCTTTAATCTTAAAAATCTCAAATTGACACGAGATTACGTCACTACTACCCAGAGTAACAGTCTTCTGGGCTGACAGCAGCATAAGGCAGAGACCAAGAGACCACGTGGCTGAGGTCCTGAGGACTAGAGAAGGGCATGCTTGCTAGCGTAGTGAGAAAGAGGCATTGCTGACAAAGGAACTGTGTCCTAAACATTTTGTAACCTATTAGCTTTCCTAATAACCCCCATAATTGTGAGTATTGTCTATGAATTCTAGGTGCCCATTGCAATATATCATCAAACCAACAGAGAAGTAGAATGCTATGGGCGGGATGCTGAGATCAGAACAGTGTAAAGAAGTAGCGGGCATGCTTGAGCCCTGGCTTCGGGCAATCCACCTGGGGCTGGGGTTGGGTGCTCTTTCTCCTTGATGCAGCCAGAGGAGGCAAGATGCTCCCCACACCGCCACAACCAGGCCCCACCGTTTCCTTACTTACATTACACATTCTGATGAGCGATGCCACATTTCGAACCTATTTTTGTACCAGTTATCTTGTTTTCTCCTCTTCCTGTTACTGAAAATCAAGAACATAGGTGTGTGAGCGGCTGCTGGTTGCTTCCTATTTTTCCATACAAAGGCTTTAGTTTTATCTCTCCTTGTCTTTCTCTTTCCATTCCCACTGCGACTCCCTTGAGTTCCTTCCCCTTCTGTGCATCGTGCTCTGTACTTCCCCACAGTCCAGCCTGCTTTTTTGGTACAGGGGTCCTCCATGGAGTATTCCCACTTGCTGTTTTTATTTGCTTAGCCTTAATCCTAGTAGTAGATGTTTTCGTAAGCAACTGACACTTTCTCTTAAAGAATGAAGCACTATTTCCCTAACTGAAGAGTGTGACTTCCTGACAGCACCGACCTGAGTGAGTTCCTCCTTAGGAGTTACCCTCTGCAGGAGGAGGCTCCTTTGCCAGAAGGAACTACCTTCCTCTCTGGCATCCTGAATTCAAGGAATATTCAGCAAAGGAATGCAAAGGCCCAGTTCTCTTCCTTCAATTTGGGGCAACCCTGGTTTCTCAGCTTTTGAGTTCAGGCCTTCATTCAATGGCACTACATCCCGAAGGATGGATAGCAACGAGAAAGATGGGAATCCAGAAAAATCACTGTGCTTATGTGGAACTCTTGCACGTGGATTGAGAGGCAATGTGTGAACAGGACAAGGGAACACTGCATGATTTAAAATCAGGAAAGGTGTGCATCTGGGTCGTTTACCCATACTTACCCAACTTGTATGCTGAACAAGTAATCAGAGAAGCTGGACTCTCTGAGGAAGAATTTGGCATCAGGATCAGAGGAAGGCTTATTAACAACCTTTGATATGCAGATGACACAATCTTGCTTGCTAAAAGGGAGATTGAAGGACAGATTGTTGCATTCTCCCATGACACCCAGCACCTTTTCTTAAAGAAGATAGACACTAAAGATGAGTGTGTCATTGAGTTTATGTAATTCAATATGTCATTGATTTTATATAATGCACTTAGGTGCACAATAATCATCAAATGCTTAACTATTTTTCAAATATTTACATGTAAATACAACAATCTCTACATATGCTGTACTATATTAAGATAAATTAATCCTCTTACACTTCAATGTAATGTAGTATTTATACATGAATCCGTAATTTGAAAAGTTAA